CGAGCCGGAGCTGCGCTCCTGGAGGCGGGCGACGCCGGGCCACCCCGTCCCTGGAGACCCGCACCCGGAGCGGGGCTGCCGGCGCCGGGAGAGCGAGTGCGCGCGTGTCCGTGGCTTCCAGGATGCAGGAGAGCCCGGACGCCCCGGCGCCTCTCCCGTGCCAGCTCAGGATCCCCGGAGGGGCGGCGGAAAAGCGGGTGGTGGTTGCGATCTGCTCTGCGAGGGGCGGATGGCAAAGCAGCAGCGGTCCAGGCCGAGTTACCTTCCCACTATAAAGGCAGCAGGAAAGCGGGAGCCCCTTGCTCCTAGCTCCCTTCTCCCACCCCAGGATCTCGGTCCCCGGGCAGCACCCGGCTTTGGCTCCCACGGGAAAACTTGTAATTTATTGAGCACTCCCCCCTCCCTTCCCCGCCCTCTGGGTACAACACTGCACTGGCCCATTGCATGTGCAAGTTTCCCCCAAGAGGAGTTTATACGTCCGGGATGCCCCGTGCAAGGCCGCTGGAAAGGGCTTGTTCGGCTTTCTAGGGGCCTTTCCAGCCCCTCTAGCACAGGCTCGCAGGGCCGGCAAGGCCAAGTCCAGGACAGCGCCGCTTCCTCCCACGTTTGCAGAGCCAGCCCTCCCCGCGGCCGCGGCCCGGGGATAAGCGAAGTGCTTGTTCGCTTGGGGGAACAATGCGCCTTCTGTCCCGGCAGGTCCTGGAAGCGGGGCCGGCGGGAGGGAACGTGTGCGCGCGTCTGACAATGGCCGGGGACATGGGAGGCTTCAGGACACCTGTTCCGTGGGGTTTCCCAAAGCCACGCTCACAAAACGATAAGGAACGGGTTTTATTTATTTGTTTCAACCACAACATTCAGTTATAACAATATTGGTTGTTCTAAAAATAGGACCAATCCCTGGCAGATGGGGGGTGGGAGGGAGAAAGAAAAAGAGAGAGAGACAGAGAGAGAGACAGAGATCCCCTTGGGATGACAGTCAACAATGTTCATACAACAGGTGAGCACAGGCAGAAAGGCAGAGAGAGGGGGGGGGGAGAGAGAAAGAGAATGGAGGTGGCCACTCAGCACTTGATTTCGGTCTATTAAAATCCACATACTCCATGGACTTTACAAGAAACTGTACATTATATCAAATAAATTAAAATTCTTCTAAGATTGATTGTCCTTCACTTAAAGCGCCCCGCACACCGACCCTCCTTGATTTATGTATATAGGCATGACTCGTGTTTGTGCCCCCGCCCTGCTCTTCTCACTTTCCTTCCCTTTTTTTTTAAATTTACTTCGTTTGTTCACTACATGAAGGAGCCCAGTTTTACAATGATTGAAAACAAACAAACAAACTAACTAACTAACCCCCCAAGAACCCTTCCTCCCCCTTCAACCAAAAGCAGCGCTCAGGAATATCCGTACAATATTGCACAGTTCAGAAGTACAATGGTTTTTTGTTTTTACAGAAGAAACCAGAAAGGGTACACTGGGGGCTTCTTTTCCAATAACGAGATACCTTTGCAAAGAAAAATCAAGCAAAGAAAATAATAATCCACGGTCTTAAAAAAAAAAAAGGATCTAAAGAAAGGATAATAAATAAAGGAGCACGTGAAGGGTGTATACATTTCACCGGTTACTTTTTGGCTGCATTTCTTGCTCAGTCCCATCTCAGGACCCTAAAAAGGTACAAAACCTGGAGGCGGGGGAGGGGGGAAGCGATGAGGCAGAAATTTGTACAAAGGGCTGGCGAGTGAACAGCCGAGGTTGGTGGAGTCTTTTAAGGTGTCCTACCATCGCCAGCACGAGCCGTGGGGAGAGAGGAGGAAAGTCAGAAAAGTCCCATTTGGCAGCAGGGACCCGCCATCGTTTATTCTCCCCCCCCCCGCTTTTTTTAAATTTTTTTATTTATTTTTTACAAAAATAAAACTAACGCCCCCAAAGCTTTTCTTCCCGGCTCCGGAAGGCGCCGCGCCCCCAGGATCCCCTCCGACTTCTTTCCACTCCCATCTCCATCACTTTTCTTTTATTTATTTATTTTTTCCTTCCCTCTTTTCTCTTCTTTTTTTTTTTTGCCGCCCTAAGACCAACCCGCACCATCATCAGCAGCATCATCAGCATCATGGAGAAGAATTAATTAATGTCAGAATAAAGAGAGCATCGACTACCTGGCGGGATGAGTTGCACGACTCAGTGGAGGGACTCACAAAACCAAATCAAATCACCGGTCACTGCCAGCTGCTCCGCGTCCTCGGGGCTGCTCTGCTGCCCTGCAGGGCTGGGGTGGGGAGGGGGAGGCCGCCCGCCGCGTGGCGGATGGGGTGGCTGCGGGGCGGGGGGCGTCCTCAGACCGGCCGCAGGAGCGGCACGGATGTGACCACGGGGTGGGAGTAGTAGACGGGGTGCGGGAAGGTGAGCAGGGGCTGGCTCACGGGCGCGCTGCCCGCCGCGCTGCCGGCCTCGGCGCCGGAGTTCTCGTGGTACAGGATGGGCACGCGGACGATGCGCTGCGCCGCGGCGTGGCTCAGGTTGGCCGCCTCCAGCTCGGCCGCCAGCTGCCGCTTCCACTTGTTCCGCCTGTTCTGGAACCAGATCTTGACCTGGGTCTCTGTGAGGTGCAGCGAGGCGGCCAGGCCGGCGCGCTCCGAGCTGCTCAGGTAGCGCTTCATGTCAAAGGTGGACTCGAGCTGGAAGACCTGGCTGCGGGAGAAGACGGTGCGCGTCTTCTTCTTGCGGCACGGCTTCTTCTCGGGGCTGCCCTCGCGCTTCTTCCACTCCTCGCCGCCGTCCTCCTTCTTGGGCTCCTCCGCGTCGCTCTCCTCCAGCACGATCTCGTCGGGGCTCTTCGAGTCCAGCTCCTTGTGCTCCGCGGCCGCCTTCAGCAGCGGCTCGGGCGAGTCCCGGTCCGTGCCCGAGGCGGGGGACGAGTCCCGCAGGAGCGACTTCTCTGCGGCTGCGGGGGCAGGAGCGGGGCAACAAAAGGAAGGGAGGGATGG